AGTTTGGCATCTCCTGGCCCTGAGCTGATGCTGGGGTGAGGGCTCTGTGGGCCTTGCCCAGCAGCAAGGACATGGGCATTGCCAGCCTTGGTGAGCCAGGCCATAGGACTTGGGCTCTGCGCCAACAGCCCTCGTGGCCCCACGGCGGCCTGCGTGGCTGGAAACAGGCCTTGGGTGGATGGTCACGGCTGGCAGAACCGCGGGGCCCGGGAAGCCTGGAGGAGCTTCCCTTGCGGCCCTGGTCTCTCCTCCCGGTGGGAGGCCGGGCCGCAGCCGAGTGAGCCTCCTCTCTGCTCTCCAGGCAGGAGGCCTCCGGGAGGCTGGGCCACCTCTGTCCACCGGCCTTCAGGGCAGAGCAGTGGTTGGAGGGCTGTCTGCTGCTGCCCACAGCCCCAGCCACGCTCCTCCATGGCAGCCCATAGGGTGGCCACGATGCTCCTGGTGTACCTGGCACAGCAGCCTCGGCAGCAGCCGGACAACTGGTGGGACTGGTGCCTCCCCCAGTTCCCTGGGCCTCGGACAGACGGCTCCAGGATGCGGCCCACGGCCTGGCCTGAGCCCAGGCTCTCCCCTCCCCGCCCCCTGGTGCTAAGGAAGTGGGGTCCTGCCCTGTCTGCAGGCCTGAGCTTGCCCCACCTTGGTATCCCTGCCGGCCTGCCCCAGCCTTGTGAGAGCTGGGCAGGTGGAGAGCTGGTGCCCAGGGAGTGGCCCTTTGGGGACCTGAACGCTGGTTTCCTGCAGGCTCCTTCCACATCGTCACTTCCTCTGCCCGTGGCCGTGCCCACTGGCCACTCTGATTGCCCGGCTGGCCTTCAGCTATTAGGCATGTCTGCCAGGGCCTGGCTGCACCCGGCAGGATGGGCAGGTGTGGAGAATGCGCTGTCAGGGGCCCACTCCTGCTCCTCCTCCCGGCCCCCAGGCCCCACGCTGGGCCTGTTCTGGCTCCCAGCCCAGGCCAGTGCCCGGCTCTTGGCTTCCCAGAGGGACCTTTCAGGGTGTGGCAGCCCTGCCCCAGGGACATGTCCCTGGGCCCCGGTCAGCAGCGTCGCTGTGGCCCAGGCCTCCGGGCTGGTGGTGTGTGTGCTGTGTGCATGTGCGTGTGTTTTCTCCATGTGTGCCGTGAATAAGACCTGTCTACCTCCCAGGAGGAGCAGCGGCCGCTCGCCCTCTGGGCTCCTCATCCAGGAAGGGGGCCGGTGTCACTCCTGCCAGCTTCCTGTCGGTGCAGGGAGCTCGCCGATGGCCCACGCTGCGGGAGGAGAGTTGGCTGTGTGTGGCAAGGGAGGCTGCACCTGTGCCCTGTGGGCAGCTGGGTGGGTGCTGGGCCGGCTGTAGAGCTGGGAGATGTGGCAGGGCCCTCCAGCCCCTCCGTCACAGGCCAGAGCAGGCAGGCACTTGCCCAAGGTTCCCAGTGAGTCTGACGAGTGGTCCTGGAGCCCGTGACCTGTCTCCCGGGGAGTCCTGTCTGCAAGGAACCTCTGTCCAGAGCCACAGGGCCCACGCCCGCCTCCCTTGTCTGGAATGCCTTCTGGCTCTCGCTTTCTCTGTTTACCTTGACTTTGGAGCAATAAAGCCTGGTGGCAGTTTGTATGCTCGCTCGCGCTCTGCCTTAAGTGAGGGGGAGGGATGCCTGGACCCCAGGGATGCTCTGGCCCTGGGAACAGCTGCCCTTTATCCGGACGGCTGTGCCGCCAGCTGCTGGCCCGAGGCCCCACGGCTGGAAGTGCGGGAGCCTGGCGGGCAGGGCTGACTCCAGCCTCTGCCTCACTGTGGACAGGTGGTGGGGGGCAGGGAGGCGGCCATAAGGGGGCCCACCTGGGACCGCAGGCCCTGGCAACCTTGGCTGAAAATGTCTAACCTGGCTGTAGGGGGCTCCCCCACCAGGGCTCCTTCACGGCAGGGTCACAGCTCAATTTCTTTATTTTCATAAGTGGGCACACGGTTTGCAGACGAGCACTCCAGAGCCCTCGGTTCCCAGGCGTCGGGACGGTGCGGGAGTTAGTGTTTGTGCTGGGTCCAGTGCCCTGGCTTGCGGGAGTGTGGAGCGCTGCCTGTGGTGTCGCCCAGCCCTCGGGTGCAGCTTTCCGCCTTCCTCCCCATGCCCAGGTGCTGGGTGGCAGCCAGGTGCTCGGAGCCACTCCTCTGCCTCCAGCCGTCTGTCCTCATCGCGGCCTCCGTGGGTGGGTAGGCAACTCGGCCTGAGGTTGCCCAGTGTGGCCTGAGGCCCCCAGTCCTGGGCGCGTGCTCCCCTGCGGTGCATGGCTGCCTCCTCTGCCGGCGGGTCC